ATACTTGGATTATTTATATTTGAACAGTGTGTAAAGAAAATGAAAAGGTTATTAAAATCAAAATGGTTTGAGGGAGCAGGTTTATTTACCAAAACCAATTTATCCTTAGGTTGGGTGCAGACATTTCAATTATGTAATTTACTAAATGTTTAAGGTTACTAGAGTTCTTTCAGAATAAGGTTTAAAAATAGGTTTCGTAGCTTAGGGGGGAAGAGGCAAAAGGCAGTTTAGACCATTACTTCCCGACCTTGTCTTAAATAAAAGTTAATTTAAGCTCATTATCAGAATTTGTTTTAACTGTGAAAAAAAAAATGACCTTTTAACCCTCCAAGTCTCTATAAATGACTTCTCAAACCCATACAGGAAACAATATTAAATACCAGCAAGAAATATAAACCTTAAAGTACCTAAAGTGTTTCTTAAGTTTATATAAATACAAACTTACAGGACTTGCTTTCTTTTCATAGCCTGGTTCACCAGGACCTGTACTTCCTATGCAAGCACATGGGAAAATACTCACAAAACCAGATCCCCATTGGGAGGCAACAGTCACCGTATCAGAAGCTGAGAACAGTATCCACCTAAAAACAGAGCTCCAACAAAAACAGCTATCAAATAACCCCCAAGCACTTTCAAAGAATCATCCTCCTCAGCCACACGTTCGCAGTTCATCTGAGCAACTTTCACAGAAGCTGCCTTCTACACCAGCCAAGATGCACTGTCCTCCATCCCCTCATGTAGAAAATCCTCCAAAGTCATCTACGCCCCATACACCTGTACAGCATGGTTATCTGTCACCAAAGCCTCCTTCACAGCAGCTAGGATCTCCCTACAGGCCTCATCATTCACAGTCACCTCAAGTTGGAACACCTCAGCGAGAGCCTCAGAGAAATTTTTATCCAGCAACACAGAACCTTCAAGCCAGTAGTCAGCAGGCAACTTCTGGAGCATTATTTACACCAACACCCTCAGGACAATCTTCAGCAACATACAGTCAGTTTAACCAACAAAGTCTGAACAGCACGGCTCCGCCCCCTCCCCCTCCTCCGCCTCCTTCTTCTTCCTCCTATTATCAAAACCAGCAGCCCTCTGCAAACTTTCAAAATTATAATCAGCTCAAAGGTAGTCTTTCTCAACAAACTGTGTTTACATCAGGACCAAATCAAGCACTTCCTGGCACCACAAGCCAGCAAACAGTTCCAGGCCACCATGTTACTCCAGGGCATTTTTTGCCCTCTCAGAACCCTCCCATTCACCATCCATCCTCTGCTGCTGTTGTCCCACCCCCTCCTCCCCCACCACCTGCTCCAGGCCCACACCTGGTACAGCAGCCCAATTCCCATCAGCAACATTCTGTAGCACATGTAGTAGGGCCTGTTCATGCTGTCACCCCTGGGTCGCATATTCATTCTCAAACTGCTGGACACCACTTGCCACCACCCCCACCCCCTCCTGGTCCTGCCCCTCATCACCATCCCCCACCCCATCCTTCCACAGGACTCCAAGGTCTACAAGCACAACACCAGCATGTTGTAAATTCAGCACCCCCACCTCCCCCTCCACCGCCACCTTCCAGCGTTTTGGCTTCCGGGCATCACACCACATCGGGTCAAGCCTTACACCACCCACCTCATCAAGGACCTCCACTTTTTCCTTCAAGTGCTCATCCAGCTGTACCACCATATCCCTCACAAGCTACACACCATACCACTTTGGGACCGGGACCCCAGCACCAGCCTTCCGGAACAGGGCCACATTGTCCATTACCTGTCGCAGGTCCTCATCTCCAACCCCAAGGACTAAACAGTATTCCAACACCTACTGCTTCAGGGTTCTGTCCTCATCCTGGCTCTGTGGCCCTGCCACATGGGGTTCAAGGACCTCAGCAGGCATCTCCAGTGCCTGGACAGATTCCAATTCACAGAGCACAGGTGCCACCAACATTTCAGAACAATTACCATGGTTCAGGGTGGCATTAAAATGGACTCCAAAAACATTTTTTAAAATGTTCTGTAAGATAAACTGTATATTTCATATGTACCTGTTAAGGTACTTTTTAAAGCTTGTACATGAAACTTTGTATAAAAAAACACCAGTGCTCTTTTCATTGTATTTTTTCCCCATTTTTGCTTTTTAAAATTCCTTTCAAAACGTGCTGTTAAGACAGTATTAGATATCTTTATTTTGTAAGTGAACATTCCAGCAGTTTTTCTGGCAGTAGATTTGATGCTACATGATCTTTAAATTTTATTGTTGCAGTTAAATTCCTTTAGTGAACTTTTTCTATATTATTTTATACATATGCATTAAGTACACAGCTAAATATTGGCACTATGAGGATTTTCTTTTTTCTTTTTTTCCTATCAGCAGTTCTGTGAGTGCATCTTAGGTATAAAAATGCAATACAATTTTTATAGTTTGGTGTGGACATGGCTCATTTTGTTTTATCGGTTATTTGCAAGCAAAATGTAATTTAATGTATAGATGATTTCTAATGTCTCCTGACAAACTGTAAATACTGCATTTCTTTTGCGTATATAATTGCTGATAGCTTTTCTCATTTGATATATAAGCATTGTACATATGACAAGTCTTTTGCAAAACTGTGTGATCTTTGTGAAAAGTAGTACAGTATATGATCTTTAATTTCTTTTTTATTTTAAATATACTGTCACATTGAAGCACTGGTTGGGCATTTTAATTCATGTTAATAAATCACAATTATGTCAGTTTTACCAAATTGTCCTGTACAACTTCTAAGATTGGGTCTGTGTGTTTCTACAAAAGTTATAATTTTCAAATACAATTTGTAAGGAGCCTTCTGTTTTCTTCAGTGACTACTACCTCCATTAGTTAGATGGCAGCTACAATAGGAGGCAGTAGGGGGTTGTTCCTGTAATGAATGGTTCTTACCATTTTTGCAAGAGCCATGTTGAAAACTATTTTAAAAGTCATGCTGCATCACCAGTATCTGACACCATACAGAACAAATCCAGACCACTAATGCATTACATGATACACTCAAATTATAATTTAAAACTGTCTAAAACTATAGGTAGTTTGCCTAAAACACAGGAATATTTAACTTGTACATTTTAGGATATGCCTGAAATATCCTGATTATTCAATGATTTAAAAATTAAAATCCAGCTATAGTTTTCTTAAAACTCGTAGGAAATACCTTTCTTTAAATTGGTATTGGATATACAGAACTAAAGGAAAAGGCATTATCCTTAGATCTCTCAAATGAAATGAAAATGGCCTCTCAAGTGAACATTTTATTGCAAAACTATAAAAGGATATTTAAAATTAAGGGAAAACAAAAAATTCCTACTCTTTGTTATCTACCTCTCAGGAGGATTTAAGTATATTCAATAGTAATGACACTGTTTATTAACACGTTTTCATCATCCAGTTACTTGACATAATTTGGCACAGTATATAAATTTTGTGCATCAGAGAAAAAAGTAAACAGACTTAAAAATGTAATTTAAGTTATGATTTATACTTTAAATTTCCATTTCCTTTTGAAAATTGACTAATGAGGCATTAATGCAGCTCGTATAAGGGCTCAATCCTGATCAACTTCAACTTTTAGAAGAACATAGATCAACTTTGCCATCCTTGACTTGTCAAACATCTATGTTACAGTATTCACTAAAAAACATTCACTAGGAAATGTCTTTACATCTTCTATCCCCTGATAGTTTCACACACTGAATAAAGCTAACTAGCTTGTGAAATGTCAATGTTTACCTATTTTAAAAGGACTATGCTCCTAAGTATTTTAAGTTCCTCAGTTTTAAATTTGCCTACTACACAAATACGTATTCAGAAGCTTTTGTGCAAACTGCAGCACCTTACATAAATCTCTGACTTTTTGAGAAAGGATATACGAAAAGCAGAATCTAAGAATAATGTGGACTGAAGTTCTCCAATGGAACGTTCATCCTTTATCCTGTTAACTAGTTATGAATGGTACAAGTATAAGAAGCAAGTTAGTAAATCAGTTTTCACCTAAAAAGTTTATGCCTTTTTGAAGCTCTTATATCCACTCTTTCTCTGTCTGCCAATTTCCAGACAGCCAGCTTCTCTGAATCTGCTATAATCACATACATCAGCCACTGCTTGTCATTTTCCATGAAGACTTCACATGGACTAGAGAAAGGAAAAGACAGGACATTCAACTAAAGTCACTGAGCTGGTTATAATGTTTAGCATAACCAGTGGTTTTCATTTAGCTTATATGCATTCTTTATCAACAAGCCGCCAAGAATTGGCTAAAACCATACTATGTCTGATACAAATGTATGTTCCTTCTAGACCAATTGTTTCTACATTGGAAACTAGTCAGGCTGTTTTATCATAAGGGTCACCCTTAGAAATTCATAATTAATTTACTTTAATTTCCCACATGAGCTAAAATTAGCTATTTCATTCAAGTGTACTATCTCCCTGGTAAAAATTCTTACATACTTAGAGAAGAAATAAATGTGCTCTGGTTTTTTAAGAGCCTTTCCTATGGAAATCATGGACAGTACACTGGTCTACAGCCACCACCTGTCACAGACACTACCTGGTAACCTATAACATCATTAAAAAAATTTACCATATATGTTTCATAATGAAATGAATGAATGGTATATTCTACCTCAGTGATATGTGATATAATACTATTTCCTAAAAGATTATGTGTCTTGCTCTCTCATAGTGAATGCTGTTAAAAAAGGAAAATTTGCAATGCTCAAACAAAAAGCAATTAGTATATTTTTGATGAAACATGAAGAGATCACTGAAATTCCAGATAACAAATTGCTTCCATAGCATCTTTCTTAAACCCTTTTTGCCCTTAAAAAATAAATTATTTCCTTACAATAACCCTTAATGCATGTTCTACAATTGCATTTGCTCCAACAGAATGTTGGTACTTGCTTTTAGTTTAGGTGACACTACACTGATAACAAATGTTCAAATACAGGGCAATGACCAAGGCAATGTCTGAAAAAAAAAACCAAAACACTTTAATTTTTAAGACAACTGCAAGCACCTCAAACAATGGATTATTGTTACAACACTTGTTAGCTTTTCACAATCTAGTTATTGCAAAGGCATATGGATAAATGTTAATGGACAAAGTCAAAAACGAGGCACCTTAATGAATGTAAAATTCAAAATAAAAAAACATTCAATCCACTGACTTCTAAAAGAGGCTAAATATACCTCTATATATTACATTCTAAAATTGTATTGCCTACTATGGTTTGTGTCCTGGATTCTACAATTTTTAGGAAATGCATAAACAAAACTGTGTACAACCTGCAAAGGGAAAATCATTTTCTCAACTTCAATTCATGGAAAGACAATGAAAAAGCTTGTAAAGTTTGTCATAGCCACACATAAAGTCGCCTATGCAATGAATGTGGATACTGTAACTTGGAGCTGAAGAGTGTTCTGCCCACTGCACTGTGATCTGTATAGACCATACCTTGTGTTTTAGATAAACACGATCATGCTTTTCCAAAAATATATATAATTTTTTTCATTCCACACACTGAACATGTTTCTCTTGTCCAATTTAATCTACATCGAGTTTAACTTACAATGCTTAGAGGAAGCAACACCACATGGTACCAGGCCATCACATTTTTAAAGGGAAATTGCTTTTTCTTTAAAAATATGCAAAAATATGAATGGGACTGCTGAATTATAATGCATATTTCAGAATGAGAAGCATGTCTTTTCTTCCTTTAAAGTGTCATCTAGGGAATGACATCTTGTAACCCAGAGCCACTCTGTTTAAAATCCAATGTAAAAGGACTATTATGGAATGAAAAGTTTTGCACAACTCCTTGGAGCAGTTAAAGTCTGCTACATGCAACTTTGGCTACAAAGCACTCAAGACTTGGTAGCTTTTCTGAAATTTGAGTCCCCATCCCATATTTAATGGAAATTAACATTTACAGGTGCATTTACATACACTATAATACAGGAATGATGTCCCTTTGCCAGAAGATAAAATTGTACATTTCCTTGCTATTTCTTGGTTCCAACTTGATAATTTCTTAAGATTGTAAATTATATAGTACTCAGCTAAAATATTTCTTCATAAATAGTTACAAAACCTGCCAAAACACAAAGGGGAAAGTATTTTTCGTTCAAAAAAAGTGATATTTGAATGTCACACAACACAAGAAACAATGCTTAGAGACATGTTATTGTTTCCAGAAGAAAATGGTCAGTAAACTACTTAGCTGAGGACAAAAGACTACCCTTCCCCAGGACCACAGTGCACAAAAAGCAAAATGTCAAATGACAGTACCTCAAAGCAAAATAAAGGTCTGAGGATGAAGCCAGCTCACTTGTAATCCTGATAAAGAATGAAAGTCACCGTTTAGGTCCAATGTACTGGGAACATTTGCTAGCTCAGAATGCTATATTGGTAGAATATGCTAAGAATTCAACCAAGGATGCCGAAGGCATTCACCAGCTGAGGCTCGTTTTTCTGGAACCATTTCTAACATCGGAATCAGGAAATCTGTAAACTGCGCAGCATCTTCATGGGGCCAGCCGTACTTTTCCACAAGCACATCAAAGAGGCTCCAGGGCTTCAGCTTGGTGATGTGCCGCAGTTCTCCTACAGGGAAGAAATACACCAACGTCAAAAAAGCTCCAAGTTTCTGTTTCCCATTGTTGGTCCAGCCAGGTTCTTTTCAAGGAGGCACACAATCTACCTGCTCAACACTTTATGGCAACAACAGAGGCCAGCACTTCCCCCTAAGCAATGATCATTAAATGTAAGCATACCTGCGTCGTATTTCAAGTAAGCCTGGCAGACGTGGATAGGGCTTAATTATGTCCAGAAGGTTTTCATTTCTAAAGGCTGAGACAGCCACTCTCACTTCAACTTGGGGTTGAAGTGCAAATTTTTGCAATTTGCAGACTTGCCCAGAAAAAGCTATCTGAAAGTCTTCTAGGGGTGGGGAACCTGCAAGCTTCAAGGCCACATGTGGCCCTTAGATCCCCAAATGTGGCCCTTCAACTGAATCCAAACTTTATTAAAAGGATTTTTGTTATACAAAATTTGGATTCAGTAAGAAGGCCACATTCAATGATCCAGAAAGCCACATGTGGCTCCAAGGCCACAGGCTCCCAAAGAGAACTTTCTTTAACAGAACAGAACAACAAGCTATAGTTAAGTGTCATATGAATTATAATTATTATTTTTAAGTCAAACTGTTCAAAGGTCAAGATAACTTTTGTTTTAAGAATAGAACATTTGGATGGAGCTGGAGAATGTTCTTCTGAGCAAAGTATCACAAGAATGGAGGAAAAAATATCCAATGTACACACCCCTATTATGAAACTAATTTAAACCTTTTTATATGAAAGCTATAACCAAATAGCCTAAGAATATGGGGAGGGGGAGGGAGAAGGGAGGGGGGAATGGGTGGAGGGAGGGAGTCTGGAGGGATTACTTCTGAGGTTTACCTTATAGGGGTACAGGTGAATCTTTCTAAGAGTAGAATGTGAATGTTTTAAAGCAATAACTGAGAAAATGACATCAAGGCTGTGTTGACCAGTTGATGGAAGTATTTCAGATTGCATGTGAAAACCCCACACTGTACCCTAGAAGTGCATTAATGTACATAGTTACCGTTCAATAAAAAAAAAAAAAAAGAATAGAACATTTTCCCTGCCTATTCAATAGGACATCCCACCCTTGCTGGTAGAGAGGCTTCTTTGGAAACCACTTGGACGGTTCTGAGGATAGATGATGTCCCCCATTACAGCCACCTCTCAAGCCATGTTGCAGGGTGCTGAGCCACGGGCAGCCAGGTCTCAGAGTACCTGAGAGGCATGCCTCTTGCAAGGATTGATCTCACCTCATCACCTGCTATAATTGTACTAACAAGGTAAATGTTTTTCATGATATGCATCAACTGAGAATCAGTGCTGTGCTCACAAGAGAGTCTTCTCAGGAGGCCTGGTCATTTCACCCAGTTATTCGAGTCAATTTAGAAACACTCTTCTCTTTTAAAAAGTGTAACAAAATTAAAAGAACATTATGGAAAAAAACAACAACAAAAAGAGAAATAACCTCCTATCCTATCCCACAACTGCCCTTTCCTTTTGCTGATACTCTTTCCATGGACGTTCTTACAGATGGTTTAGGAGTTGCCATCATGCTGTGCACAGGATTCTGTGTGAAGTATTAGTTCTAACTGAAGGGCTTAGGTATAAAACAAGGTTCTAGCTCTAATGTGAGGGACTGAGGAAATGTTAAGCACAGCTTCCAGACAGGTCAGGTCTGTGTTTTGAAGAAGTGAACCTGCAGTCTTAGAGGTGGGCAGGGACTTCCTATGGAAGGAAACAGTCTCTGGAAGAAGGAAGTCTAGGCAATCACTAAAGGTTTATCCCTCTAACCCAGAAATTCCAGTACTAGGAATCTAGCCTGAGAGAGTTACACTCTGACACTCTCAACCTCACCCCCCTAATATGCTCAATGCAAAATTTTACATACTTGCAAAATTACAAATGCCCAATAATGATTTTTTTAAAAAACCAAGGTACATTGGGCAGCGCCTTTGGCTCAAAGGAGTAGGGCGCCAGCCCTATATGCTGAAGGTGGCGGGTTTAAACCTAGCCCTGGCCAAAAACAGCAAAAAAAAAAAAAAAAAAAAAAAAAGCCAAGGTCCATCAACTTGGTATTATTTCATATCACTTAATAATATGGGGAAACATCATACGGTACAATATATGAGAACAGAGTCAAAACTATGTTCCACAGACAATCATAAGACTGATTTTTTTTAAAATGCCCATGAAGATGCAAAGCAAGTGAACAGCAACTTTGTTAGTGGGTTATTTCTCTCAATACTCACATTTTCTATAATGAAACTATATTGATTTAGGCAGGGCACTGTGGCTCATGCCTATAATCCCGGCACTCTAGGAGGCAAGGTGTGTGGATCACCTGAGCTCAGGGGTTTAAGACCAGACTAAGCAACCATCTTTACTAAAAATAGAAAAACTAGCTGGGTGACATGGTGGGTGCCTATAGTCCCAGCTACTTGGAAGGCTAAGGCAAAAGGATCACATGAGCCCAAAAGTCTGAGGTTGCTGTGAGCTGTGACATCACGGCACTCTACACAGGGTGACAGAGTGAGACTCTGTCGGAAAAAAAAGGATATAGTGACTTAGACTAACTATTGATCTTAATAGAGCAACAGTTTAGGCAAATTAAGAAAGTTCACACTGGACAGCACCTGTAGCTCAGCGGGTAGGGTGCTGGCCACATACACCGAGGCTGGTGGGTTCAAACCTGGCCTGGGCCAGCTAAAAATCAACAATGACAACTGCAACAATAAAAAAAGTGGCTGGGCATTGTGGCAGGCGCGTATAGTCCCAGCTACTTGGGAGGCTGAAAAGAATCGCTTGGGCCCAGGAGTTGGAGGTTGCTTTGAGCTGTGATACTATGACTCTACAGAGGGCAACAAAGTGAGATTCTGCCTCAAAAAAAAAAAAAAAAGCTCACACTGACATGCTAAAACAAGTCCTCGGGAAAAGAGAGAGAACCTTCTTGACATTCATCTGTCTTAGAATCCTACTCTATCCGGGTTTGCAAGTGAATGCCACTGCTGAGAAGGATGTCTACTCAGAACAGCAAAGGAACCCATTTCTGAGGGTGCTAGTTTCTAAACTCAGATTCACCAACAGGCATCAAATTAAGTACAATCTTCCATGAAAAGATAAGTCTTACCAATATCAGATGCCTAAAAACTACGTAACAACATTGACAAAAATAATACAATGTAGGGAGGCTACAAAAAACTACTTATTCATGTACAACTAGGCATATGATAAAACTGATTAAAAAACATTTACGAAAAGCAGCCTCAAATCTGTAACTAATTCTAACTAGGTAATTCTACACAAAAAACTGTACGTGTGAAGATGTGGTCTCTAATAGCAAAATATGCACGATAATGCCAAACATCAACAGGTCCCGAAACACAATATTCAGTGCAATTTAATGTTGTATTCAGTTTAATACAACACTCAATGTGGATTATGTAGATAATTAGAAGAGCTCTACAATGCCAAGTAAAAATAGGAAGACACTCCTCTGGAGCCTATGATTATCTGTACACATCCTTAGGCTTGATATAAGAAGTAATGCTGTTACTTAAACACAACTCCCAATTCTCCAACTCTGCATCTACTGATAGCAGACATGGTAAGAGTGGACTCAATGGGTGAGCAAGAGCTTGGGTCCATTCACCAGCTCCAGCCCTGTACATGATGCACAAGAAATAACAGCCACCTCCACCCCTGCCACTTAGAATAATAAATAAGAATGAAATATTAAAAGAGTAAAACTAATTCTAAAAACATGTCTTTATGATTTGCTCCTCCCATAGAGGTAGCTCCCTAACAAGTTAAAGAAATTTTACCTTCTATTTTTTCTTTTAAGAAAATATACAGGCTGGGTGCAGTAGCACATACCCATAATCCTAATACTCTGGAATGCCGAGGCAGGAGAATGGCTTGAGCTCAGGAGTTTGAGACCACCCTGAGCAAGAGTGAGATCCCATCTCTACTAAAAATAGAAAAGTTAGCCTGGTATTGTGGCACCTATTGTTCCAGCTACATGGGAAGCTGAGGGAGGAGGATTGCTCCAATCTAGGCAACAGAGTGAGAGTCTGTCTCAAAAAATTACGTAAATAGGGCAGCACCTGTGGCTCAAGGAGTAGGGTGCCGGCCCCATATGCTAAGGGAGGTGGGTTCAAACCCAGCCCCAGCCAAAAACTGCAAAAAAAAAAAAAAAAAAAAATTTAAGTGAATAAATAAAAAGAAAGAAGGCTTGGTGCCTGTAGCTCAGTGATTACAGTGCTGGCCCTGGTGGGTGGTTTCAAACCTGGCCTGGACCTGCTCACTAAACAACAACAACAATAAAACTGCCCCCCCCCAAAAAAAACAAAAAGAAAGAAAGAAAATATACAACAATGTGTTTCACGAAAACACGTTCTGCAGATGATTAGAAACTTGTGACAATTTTTATTTTATTTTATTTTATTTTTTTGAGACAGAGTTTCACTATGTCACCCTCAGTAGAGTGCTATGTTGTCACAGCTCACAGCAACCTCAACTCTTGGGCTTCAGTGATTCTCCTGCCTCAGCCTCCCAAATAGCTAGGACTACAGGTGCCCGCCACAACGCCTGGCTATTTTTTGTTGCAGTTGTCAATACTGTTTAGAAGGCTTGGGTCGGGCTTGAACCCACCAGCCTCAGTGTATGTGGCTGGTACCATACGCACTGTGCTACGGGCACTGAACCATGACAATTTTTATTTTAAAGATTCCATCTCCAGCCTTTCCTTCTTAAAGAATAGTGAATACCATTTTCACCCTTCCTGGGCCTACACAAGCTACTGATCTCAGTATCCATCTCCCACATGTGAATGCAAACAAAAGCTCAGTGCCAGGTAGATAACTCTGTGTTAGTGCTATTCTCCAGGCGCCATGGAGAATCCCAGTTTGCCTTGCGAGCATCCTGACAAAATCACCAGGAAGCAGCCAGGAGGGAGGGCTTCTCATCTACAGGAAAGGCTGCCTGCCTCACAGCAGCTGTGTT